AAGAGTGATCCATTTTTTAATGCCTGCTAAAAATTAATCTGGCATGAAAAGAATTACAAGTCACAAGATGCCACAGAAAACTGGAATGTTTAAGCTTAATAAAACCACAGTTCCCAACCCCACTTTTTCCCAGTTTGAGGTGTCAGATCTTCAACATACATTTCAGCGAATCCTCTTTAATTAATTTAACGAAGTACTTGAAAGCTCTCAATCGATAGCAAGGTTTCACTCAAGCATGTACTGTAACACAGAAGGATCCACTTCTTCCGCCACCAGACTGGCTTGCAGACTTTGGACTGTTGCTTTTTTCCCCAAACGCTGTCTCCACAAGACAAACGCAGCTATGATCTGTGACTGCAGGTTGTGAGGGTGATTGACTTTACATCGATAGATGTCAGTATGGGACAAACCCAAGCACAGAGCTATATGCTCCCATTCGGGTCCCAGTCTCCTTGCAAGCTTGTTCAACTGCTGATCTGTTGGTGAAGTCTTCAAAATACTCGGTGCAATTTCAGTTATATCTGTTAAAAAAAAAAAAAAAAAGGCATACATGTGTCACTAGGCAATGCTGCAAATATTAATGTAAGACTTTGACAAAGGAGGGAATAAGCAAAACTGAGGTGAAATAATTAATTAATTAAAGAAACAGAATACATACTCACCTAGAAAAATTAACTACATAATCAACCAGCAGATTAATTAAAGGAAAACTAATGCTCAGTGGACCCTACTAAATAAACCTCAGTGGAGCCTTGAGTTTTTGGGTGTCAATAATCCAGGTATCAGAATTCTACTCCAAAGCCAAGACTTCAAAAAGTAATTATAGATTTTGAGGTAGTGAACAAGAAAGGTTTTCAAGCAACACGTTTCCAGCAGCCACCATTCTCTGAAAATCAGCCTGCTTCCAGCAGTATGACATAGTGACAAATGACAAATGTGGGACCCATACTACCTTATTACTCCTATTCTGTGACTCTGTTTATACACTTCAGAAATAACTTTGATTCCTTAGTTACTGGGTATTACTCTATTTTTTTGCTGAGGGTTGTTCACAGGAAATTCTTCTGTCTTCTAAGATACTACTTATCCTTTGTGCCCTGTCATACATGGCAAACTTGTCTTGAAAAGACCAGCTTTGGGGGCTTTTCTTCTCTTTGAATGAACCCATAAGCATGCTTCAGGTGAACTCAAATGAACAGGGCATCAACACTGTTCCCCAGTACAAATTATGCTTCCTTATGCCTCATCCCAGTTGTAGTAATAACTCCTGAAAACAGGCATGTATGTGCTACAGCCCTGTTCATCTGGCCTCCTTGAAGCTGTTTTCAAGAGAGTGCAAGAAGACTCTCAGTATTACTATTATTATTATTAATACTCTCTTAGTATTGCCCAAGTACCCAACATGCCCAGAACACACTCTTCATCCGAGAAGATGTTTAACATCGAACTGGTACCTGAGTCGCAGAGGACAGGATCAAAACAACGACCAAAACAGCTTTCACAGGAAGCATTAAGGTAGCTGTAATTATCAGCAGTAAAATCTCTTTGGGACTGAACCAAGTATTTCTCACAAACACAAGTGATCTCTTTATGTATTCCCTATGGTTATTTAATCATTTAAGAAAAAAAAAAAAGCCTTCATACAAACGGTGTTAATAGAGTGAGAATATGGCGCTATTCAGAAACATGTTGTATGGGATCCATCTCACCTAACTACAGATAGCTCCTCCTGAACTAATTATACCAAGATTAATTATCACTAAGGAGAGAAAAAATACGTTCTTCTAGAATACAATCCATCTCACTGGAAAGAAGATGTCTAAAATAATCAGATGAATTACTCCTCTAAATGTGCACATTTCTCTCCATTGACTGTAAAAGGAGCACTGGGTACAAGCTTAGATGTTGACGTTGATGCTGTAAACACTAAGCGCTGGTGAAACGATTCTCTGCCTGTAAATTCAAACCACATACCAGCTGCTTTAAAAAGGTGCATTTAGAAAAGCAGCATAAGATACCTATAAAGGATATTTGCTCCTTGATACCCTTTGTGATCACAAGCTGAAATGAAGGGTCAATCTGCCTGCAGTTGCTGCTCTACTTTTGCTGCTGAAGACACTGCGTCAAAACAGAGTGAAAATATTCCCAAGAAAATGCTAATTATAGCCTGTCGGTCTGAAGCAGCAGACACCCTACAGAAGAGCTGCTTTGCGAAATCTAATTTATAGCTCCAATATCATGTTCGCAGTCTCCGCTGCAGCAGAACAGCAACGCTAGAAAGCACCACTCCTTTTGTTTTATCAAAAGTAATTGTATTTGCATAGAATACCCAGAGTCTGCAAACATTTGTACAATTTAAGCCCAATCATATGTAAGTACTATAGAAAGCTGCTTTGAGTAAAGGGAAGATTGCTTTCTGAAGAGTATTTAGATCCCTTTGATCTTTCTGTCTCCAGATTGCCAAAGGAACCCAGGGCAAGTGGCTGGTTCGGGGACAGGGCAGAGGATGCACGGCTCCTGAAGAAGGCTCAGCAGTACTGGTAGGGCTGCCCTACACTGTCACATCAGACGTGATATCAGCTCCACAGGTAAATCAGGATGTGGGAGTGCCTTTCATGAATGCAAATATTTGAGAATAAGCTAAATTTAAAATTTGAAATAAATATAGCTACACTGTGCTGTCACCACCATTACTTTTTGATGCTAAACCCTTGCATTGGCTTATGGTCAGCTACTAAGCATAAGGCAGCGTGCCTAAAGGAGCACTACCTGCCAGCCTGGGCTTTTTGCTCTCAAGCTGGAATTTTTATACTTCGTATTCACTAGCAGAACGATGTTATGATAATGAAATGTGATCAAGCAGGGAGGCCTAACAATAATACATGTCAGCTTGTCCATCCAGCCTTTGATATCAGGCAGATTTTTTTACTGCAACAAGTATCTTGCCTTCAGCCTGTTATCAGCCCTTTAATAAGAATAAGAAGAAAACCCATCCAGGAAATCTTTTCATCTTAGGCTAGCATCTGATTCTAATATGGATGCAGAAAATTCTGGGACAGAAGCCAAATGTTAAATTTAATACAAAGGAGTGTTATTTTAGTCCCATTTTATTTTCTGAGATAGCTCTTTTTCAGCTCTGATACAAAGTCACTGAGGAAAATCTGAACAAGTATTACATGATGGGCAATACTATTTAGAGGTATAGAGAAATACTTAGTGAGATCTTTCAGTTATGACAAATGCAAAACCACAAAAAGATCTGGATATGTTCTAGGATTAATACCACTATTAATTTAATAAACATAATGCCATTTCAGGTAAAAGGGCAATGAATTTTCTGTGCCTGGCACCCAATCTGCTTTGAACACTATGCAAAAACATTAAAGATGCCTTTTTTTAGTTATGTTTACTATAGACCCTCACTTATAATCTCCACTTGTCAGAAACTGCCTGAGGGTTGTAATGAGATTAGAGCAAAAGTTTCAATTATGCAGATCCTGCAGTTGCACTTGAAAGGTACATTTAGGACACTGAGATCTCAGGTTTGAAAAAAAATGTGAAGCTCTTCTTGTTTTAAGTGGAGCTGATGTGGAGGTGTACATGCTTATGTTAGAAATACGCTTCAGCTTTGCAAAATGAGGACTGCACTGTTAGAAATGGGAAGAAGCAGGGCTGGGAGCACCAACGGAGGGTGCCGAGGGTTTCGCTGGAGAAGGCAATTTGCAGTACCATCATCTCCAGCAAGCACGCCGAGAGAAATACCGTGTCCCGCTGTGGACACGATCTACACCACGATGTGCCAGGGCCATATGCTGCGGAGATTTAGAGGCTGAAATCTTGCTGCCTGCACTGAAGCCACTAAGTCCCTGAGGGAATGGGGAGCTGATGGCTTCGTGCTGGGGAGCGAACCAGCCTGGTGCAGAGCTGCTCTCCTGGGACAGTCGGCCAACTCACTGGCATGGCGCTTGGGATCATGGAAATCCCCTTTCTCCAGGCTGGAGGTGGGAAGGACACTCTCCACCCTGGTTTTGGATCTGAAACCGATCCAGAGAAAGACCTGCAGCTCCTATTCGAAGTTGCAGCATGAGGGACCGCGCTTCTCCCTGTCTCCAGCTCTTGCTGGTCAAGGAAGTTCATCCACCCTAAGCCTTTATCCTAGTCGTCCCAGTTAAAAAACAAGAGATGTTGACAACTTCTGGCCTGTGTACATGTGTGCTTCCAGACCACTGCACAGACTGGGAGATATGAAAATGCTGGTGAATGAGGACAGAAAACAGAACTGGATATAAATAGTATCACAGATATGTACCAGACAAAACAGAATAACCCAGATAGCAAAGCTATATATGGGGCAAAGGCAGCCAGTTGCCACTTTTGCCTTTCTTTTTCTTCAGGACCTCTCCAGCTTTAAGCAGGAAACTCTAGGAAGATGTTGCAACAATCAGGGGGATGAAAAATAAACTCACCCCAGCTCTGTCCCGCTTGGCACAAGTGGGAGGATGCAAGATAAAGTTCAGTGAAAATGAGCTTTGAATCACTTCAAGACACTTGTTTTTTGCCTTTGCTTTCTCATCATCATCTCTAGGTGATGAGAAAAGCTGAGATCATCTCTTAGGCTGTCTTGCACCATGAGAAAACCTTTATCAGCATCGAGGAACTGACCTCCCACTCTCCACATTGCTGGAAATGAGTGGGGAGCAAGCAAGCTTGGCTCCATCACAAGACATAGTGAAAAGTGCAAGGCATTTTTGAGTGATCTGCAAAGTATCCAACTGATTCCTCAGAACTGCTGGCAGCTCAAAGTGCCTTAGAGTTTTGTCTAAAGGACTCTTCTCTGTGTAAGCATGACTTCTCTGTGCACCACCAAAAGCATCTGTTGGAGTTTCAACAAGCTTTCTCCCTTATGCAGTCAATACATTCTTACATGATGCAACACGAAAACAACTTTTTGGGTTTTGCTCTTTGCTGCGCAAAAGGGACTTTGATGGAAATGATGTACCTGGATCCAAAGTCCTGAAAAAGTCTCAATCAGCTGCTGAGCGGTGAAGAATGTTCCCAGCCTCCAGAATGGAGCCTGGTGGAGAGAAAACTCTCCTGTGAAGCCAGGGGTATGCTGAGACAGAGCAAAATGTAATGCAAGAGCCCTTGGCAGAAACGATGCTAGGCAAACACTGTGATTTTTATATAATTACACTAGAAACAGGTAGGCGATTCTGGGCTTCAGACCCTGCATAGCTGGAATGGGACCATAAAAAGGAATAATGGCTTAGGCATGCATCTGACCTCAGCATCTCCTACTGACAGGTGTACAGAGTCCTTCAGTGATCTGGACTCAAGTCACTAACTGTTGTTCACTTGACCCTCTTACCAGATCCTGCTCATAATTTCAGAAGAGTTCAAAGCAAGCATTTCAGACTTCTCTTTAATTGTCTTTCCTGGCATCTGGAGTACAGCTCTTCCCTGAGAAGTGCTAAACTTAGATCAAGCAGTTCCACAAGCAGCAAATCAAGGAAGCCTTGTC